CCATCCATCCATCCATCCACCCACCCACCCATCCATCCATCCATCCATCCATCCACCCATCCATCCATCCATCCACCCACGCACCCACCCATCCATCCACCCATCTATCCACCCATCTGCTGTTAATTTGATAAACATATATGAGTTAGTTACTGGGTTCTAGGCAGAGAGCCAGGTTCCTGGGGGTGACTCACAGACTTAGCAGGGACAGTCATGTGTACCAACCATTAGCATCATTGGTTTCTCCTTGGTGCCCTGAGTGAGCAGTGCTTCTGCCGGGGATGCCCTCCACTGCCTTTTTGGCTTGTATTCATCCTTAATGCAGGGGCCCTGTATCCCATCAGAACATCAGGGAAGCCACCTCATCTGGCAGAGCTCACTGATTAGCACCTGCCCCTCAGCCAGTGGGAGCTTGTGGGGCTGTGTGGCTCTCCACAAAGGCCAGCAGCCCCTGAGCACCTGGGAGCAAAGGGGATGTCATGAACCTGGCTGCTAGAGGTCTGAGAGCTGAGCAGCCTAGGGGGCCGGGGCTCAGTGTATACACGAGCATGTCCAGTAGAAGTAGAATGTGAACCACGTAAGTGACTTAAATTCTCTAATAGCCACAGGAAGCACAATAAAAAGAAACAGGTGAAATTAATTTCAATCATTATATTTTAATTAACCAAATATATCCAAAATGTTACCATTTTAACATGTAATTACTATACCAGTACCAGGACAGCACCAGTTACCATCAAGTAGATTCTGACTCATGTTGACCCCGTCAGTGTCAGAACAGAACTGTGCTCCACAGGGTGTTTAATGGCTGGGTTTTCAGAAGTAGATCAACAGGGCTTTCTTCTGAGGTGCCTCTGGGTGGACTCAAACTGCCAATTTTTTGGTTAGCAGTCAAGCACATTAACCATTTGCACCCCCTAGGGACCCCTTATAATCGATATAAAAATTGTTAATGACATATTTTACGTTCTTTTATTCATACTAAGTCTTTTTTAATAATTTATTTTTTATTGTTTTTGAGAATATACACAGCAAAAACATACACTAATTCAAGTTTCTACATATACAATTCAGTGACATTGATTATATTCTTCAAGGTGTGCAACCTTTCTCACTAACTTTTCTGAGCTGTTCCTCTCCAAATAACATAAACACACTGACCCCTAAGGTTCCTATCTAATTGCTGTTCCTGTCTAATTTCAAGATGCTGTTGTCAGTTTGATCCCATATAGACAGATCTTAAAAGAGCATAATGCTCAAGGCAGATATTCTTTACTAGTTAAGCTAACCTGATGTTTGGTTTTAAGATGACTTCAGGGAATATTTTTGGTTTAAGGTTTAAAGATTATCTCAGGACAGTAGTTCTGGGGATTCATCCAGCCTCTATGGCTCTAGAAATCCTGGATTCCATGAAAATATGAAATTATGTTCTACATTTTCCCCCTTTTGATCAGGATTATTCTATAGAATCTTTGATCAAAATGTTCAGTAATGGTAGCAGGGCACCATCCAGTTCTTCTGGTCTCATGGCAAAGGAGGCAGTTGTTCATGGAGGCAATTAGCCATCCATCCCATTTCTTCCTCCTACTCCTGACTCTCCTTCTTCCTCTGTTGCTCCAGGCTAATAGAGAACAATTGTTGTGCCTTGGATGGTTGCTGGCAAGCTTTTAAGACCCCAGGTACTACACCACCAACTAGGAGGTTGAACAGAAGCACTAAACACGTTATTAGGTCAATTAATTGGAATGTTCCATGAGAACATGACCCTGAACCTCCAAACAAAGGAACTAAATCCCATGAACTGTAAGGTTGTACATAAGCAGCCTCAGCAGCTACTCTTTTTTTTGTCATTATTATAAATATGTCTATCACACAACTTTGGCTAATTCAACTTTTTACAAATGTACAACCTATTGACAGCAATTACATTAATCTGCTGTGCAACCCTACCCTTAAATATTGCGATTTTTCCATCACCGTAAACCAAAACTCAGTGCTCCATAAGTCAGAAGCCCACTTTCCCCTCCCTCCCACCCCTGGAAACCACTAATAAGCTGTGATCTCTACACATTTGCCTGTTCTTGGCTTTTTACGTAAGTGAGGTCATACAATCTTTGTCCTTTTTGATGGCTAATTTTACTCAGTATAATGTCTTCAAGCTCCATCCATATTGTAGCATGTATCAAGACTTCATTTCTCTTACTGGCTGAGTAGTATTCGATTGTGTTTATATATCACATTTTGTTGATTCATTCGCCTGTCGATGGGCATTTGGGTTGTTTCCCTCTTTTGGCTCTCGTGAATAGTGCTGCAGTGAACATTGGTGTACAAGTCTCTGTCTGAGTCTCTGCTTTCAGGTCTTTTGGGTATATACCTAGGAGTGGAATTGCTAGGTCATATGTTGTCGTTGTTATTAGGTGCTGTCGAGTCGGTTCCGACTCACAGCGACTCCATGCACAACAGAACAAAACACTGCCTCGTCCTGCACCATCCTCACAATCGTTATGCTTGAGCCCACTGTTGCAGCCCCTCTGTCAGTCCATCTTGTTGAGGGTCCTCCTTTTTTATCGCTGACCCTCTACTTTACCAAACATGATGTCCTTCTCCAGGGACTGATCCCTCCCAAAAACATGTCCAAAGTATGTGAGACAAAGTCTCCCCATCCTTGCTTCTAAAGAGCTAGCGCTCTGGCTGTACTTCTTCTGAGACAGACTTGTTGGTTCTTCTGGAAGTCCATGGTATATTCAATACTCTTCACCAACACCATAATGCAAAGGCGTCAATTCTTCCTCAGCCTTCCCCATTCACTGTTCAGCCTTCGCATGCATGTGAGGTGATTGAAAACCCCATGGCTGGGTCACGTGGTAGTTTCTTCTTAGTTTCCTGACGAACCACCACACTGTTTTCCACAACAGCTGTACCATTTTGCTTTTCTACCAGCAGTGCGTAAGGATTCCAGTTCACCACATCCTTGTCAACACTGATATTTTCTGTTTTACTTTTGTTTTTTTTATCTTAGTCGTCCTAGTGGGAGTGAAATGGTATCTTACTGTGGTTTTGATTTACATCTCTCTGATGGCTAATGATGCTGAGCATCTTTTCATGTCTTTGGCGGCCATTTGAATGTCCTCTTTGGGAAAATGTCTGTTCAGGTCCTTTGCCCATTTATGATTGGGTTATTTGTCTTTTTGTTGTTAAGTTGTCCAAGTTTTATATATGTTTTGGTTATTAGATTCTTGCCGGATATATGGTTTCCAAAGATATTTTCCCAGTCAGTAGTTTATCTTTTCACTTTTTTGGTAAAGTCTTTCGATGAGCAAAAGTTTTTGCATGTTTATGAGGTCCCATTTATTTAGTTTGTCTTTTGTTGTTCGTGAGTTTGTTACTGTATTAGATAATCCATCGTTAAAAGCTAGGCTCGGCAGCGTTGCATCTGCATTTCCTTCTGAGAATCTTATGGTTTTAGTTTTCACATTTAGTTTCTTAGTCCATTTTGAATTTGTTTTTGTGTGTGGTGTGATGCATGGATCCTGTTCATTTTTTTGCATGTGGAAATTCAGTCTTCCCAACACCATTTATTGGAGAGACTTTTCTTTCCCCATCAAATGGACTTAGTACCCTTGTCAAAAATCAGTTGAGTGTAGATGTGTGGGGTTTATTTCCGGACTCTCAATTCTATTCCATTGGTCTATGCGTCTATTATACGAGTGCCAGGTTCTTTTGATGACTGTAGCTGTATAATATGCTTTAAAACCAGAAAAGGTGAGTCCTCCTACTTTGTTCTTCTCTTTCAACCTTGCTTTAGTTATTTGGGGCCTAGTTGCTATTCCATAGAGTTGAGAATTGGGGTTTCCATTTCTGTAAAGAAGGCTGTTGGAATTCTGATCAGAATTACATTCAACCTATAGATCACTTTGGGTAGTTCTGACATCTGAACAATATCAAGGCTTCCAGTCCATGAACATGGCACTTCTCTCCATATATTTAAGTCTTTTTTAATCTCTTTCAGCGGTGTTTTAAATTTCATTCTATAAATCCTTCACATCCCTGGTTACATTTACTTCTAGGTATTTTATTCTCTTAGCTATTATCGTAAATAGAATCATCTCCCCATTTGCCCTTCGGATTTTTCATTGCTGGTGTATAGACACCCAACTGAGTTTGTGTGTTGACCTTGTTCATACAGTCTCTGAAATCTGGGGTGCACTTTGCACTTACAGCCCATCTCTGCTTGCACCGGCCACATTTCAAGTGCTCAGTAGCCACAGGTGGTGAAGGGTGGCTACCATGTTGGACAGTACAGGTGTAGACCATCACTGCATTGGGCAGTTTGGCCAAGCATCCCATTGGTGCTCTGCTGGCCCCAAGCCCCAGCTGGCCTCGGTTCAGTCGGGTTACACAGCCGACTGTTTGGCCATGGCAGGGTAGCGGTGGCCACCCGGGTGGTTGTCTATTTCTTATCTAGACTCCCAAACAACCCTCTCCCGCCAACCCCACCTTATTCGGTAACCCTCCTGCAGCGTCCTCTGTACAGCACTTCCCTTTTGCCTTTCTCTGCTCTGCGCCACCAGTCACCACCCGCGGGCAGCCTTCCACGTTACTAAAATGCGTTGACCTCTCTCACCCACTGTTTTCCTCTTCCGCATTCTTTGTGCTTATGGGTTGAGACCATTTCTATTTCTTTATTGTTATTTTAGAAAAGATTTGGGAGGAAGTCAAGATAAATGTCAATTTGCCATGTTTAACCAGAAGTCAGGAAATGTGGTTGTATTTTATCTTTAAAATTCCTGTATGCTTTTTATTCCCTAGTTCATAATATATTTTTATTTAAATATGACAGTGATTGTTTACGTTACCAGTTAAAGAGCCAAGCATTTTTCAAACCAATATTGGAATCAAATAGATGCTTCTCACTTGGTTTTGTGCCACCGACACCCCACCCCTTGCCCAGTTAGAAAAGGGGGTCCCACCAACTGGCTCCACAGGCTCCGGAAGCCAGCCCAGGCGTTCCCATCCCCTCCCTCCTTCTCTGCAGAGGTCCACTGAGGCCTGACCTAGCCTTCCATGAGATCCCTAGCCCCAAGTGGCCTTCAGGATAAGTGCGATCCAGCCTCAGTTTCCAGGGCATCCCTGATACCCTTGAAGAATGTAGCTTTCCATTTACCGAGGATAGAAAAGGAGTTTCCATGGAAACCAAACATTGGTACCCGGTCAGTACCTGGTCTGGGGGGGAGGGTAACTGTCCTGCTCCTCATATGTATGTTCCTCTGCCCCCTCCCTTGTTTGTAATCCTCAGGTTCCCCAGCCATCTTTGTTACTTCATGGGCTATCACCAGGCACTTTCTGGAAGACGTTGGGTAAGCTGTAGGAAGGAGGTATTTTTGATATGGTCCCGTTGTTCCAACAGGGTAGACCCTTCCGTGGGGCTGTCTAGGGAAAGCCTGTTTCTCATGTTGGGGACCAGGGGAGAGTTTTCTAGGATGCCAGGCTGCAGAACGCCCAGCACTCCCCAGGTGTGGGCGCACTGGGCTGTGCTGAGCACCTTCTCCAGGCCTGTACCCCGCCAGGCCTCCTCTCTCCTCGCCCGCCTGCCAGCTCTGTGGTGAGGTCACGTGGGGCACCCCAGACAGAAGGCGCTCCGCGGAGGACGCTCTGGAAAGGGCCAGCCCAGCCCCTTCTTCCTCCTGGGACGCTCTCCACACCGTCTCCCTGCGCCTGGGTGTCCCGGCTGGCTGGGTGGGGAGCAGAGCAGCAGCATTGTAGTAACCCCAGGTGTGGCAAGGATGGATAACAGGGCAAACCAGAGATTTCAGCTTTGTTCTCTAAAGGGGGTTGTGAGGCATTCAGGGTCGGGGTGAGCCCAGAGAGGCCCCCTGGGAGCAGGTACGTGGACAGAAGGCTTGAAAGGCCCCAGGGAGGAAGTGAGACATGAGAGAGTGCGGGTAAACATCTCACCTGGATAGTGAGATCGGATGAGGCGTACAAGTGTCTTACCGTCCAGATTCAGCCCACCAACTTGCATTGGTACAAAGTAATTTTTTTTTAATCGAGTGATTTTACTTTCTTTAAAAAAACTGGATTTTCAACTTCTCTAGAAAAAATGAAAGTTCTATCAACATTTCTCATTTCCTCAGCTGGGGCAGAGTTGGGGCTGCCTCGAGCCAGGTCTGCGCTCTCCAGCTCACCGAGTACCCGGACTGATGTCCCGAATCCTGGGCCATGTTGCTCACTGGCGCCCCCTGCAGGGCCTCTGTTGGCAGCTGAGCTTGCCTTCCAGCTCCCCAGTGAATTCTGAGCTAGCTTTGGGATCCAGGGGTCTTCCAGCTCTCAGGTTCTACATACGTCTGCTCCCCCAGATGCTCACCAGGCCCTGCATGGGGGAGGGACTGCACCCACAGCTCCCAGCAGCGCTCCCAGGCAGCAGGAAAGGGGCAGGCTGTGATGGTGCCGAGTACATCCACAGGGCTCAGGGCCACCCATGAGGGCCCTCCACACCAAGGACCACCTCAGGGAATACCTCACCTCAGGGAGTACATCCTTCCTGGTCAACCAAGCTCCCCACCCCTGACTGTGCTTGGCTCTCCCTCCCTTAGGTGCTGGGACATCAATGCCAACGCGTCCATCTGGTGGGTCATCCGAGGGCCTGTGATTGTCTCCATCCTGGTGAGTGCGTCCCCCCCGCTGAGCTGGGCGTCAGAGGGAGAGACCAAGCGGTGACTTGGCCCTGGGGCAGAGGCTGGAAGATGGGGCTAGCGTCCCTCCCTCGGGTGCTGGGGTGGATAAACCACAGAGCCTTCAGAGCCTCCTCCACCTCCCTAATGAACAGTTGGCAGGAGGGGTGCTCTGTCATTGTGTGAGGGCAGGTAGGAGGCGTTGTCTTGCAGGACTGGCATTGTCCCATGGCCAACAGGGGAATGTGTGGCTGCACACTGGCCTGAGATCCACCGTCACAGGCTCAGACTTTTGGGTCCTGGTCATTTTTCCAGGAGGTCTCATGCTAAGCTGGGGAGAGTCCCTGAGCTGGGATCACAGCAAGGGGCAGCTGGTGAAGGCTGAGTGCCGTTGTGGTCCTGGGAAGAGATGTGGGAGCGACTCTCATGGATGGGAGTTAGCGGGTCTCAACCCCAGCTGCCCTTTAGAATCACCTGGAAGCTTTCTAAAAATACTAATACCTGGATGTTCCTGCTGTCACTGCTCAGGGGCGGGGTCTGGGCACCGGTCTTGTTTTCAGATTCCCTACGTGATTCTGCTCCACGGTCAGGGCCCCCACGGCTAGGCTGGGCAGCGTGGGCGCGGGTCAGGGCCCCCACGGCTAGGCTGGGCAGCGTGGGCGCGGGTCAGGGCCCCCACGGCTAGGCTGGGCAGCGTGGGCGCGGGTCAGGGCCCCCACGGCTAGGCTGGGCAGCGTGGGTACGGGTCAGGGCCCACTCAGCTAGGCTGGGCAGAGGCACAGAGAGCAAGCTTATTAGCGCTTGCCAGAGGCTGGTGGGAGGAGGAAGGGGGAGTGGTTGCTTAAGGGGCCCTGAGTTTCTATTGAAGGGGATGCCAGTTTTAGAAATGGATAGTGGTGAGTTACACAACATGGTGAACATGATTAATATTAACTGAGTAAAACTGGTTGAAATGGCACATGTTTGGTTATATATATTTTACCACAATAAAAAAAAATTGAGTTAACCAAAGTGAAGAAGAAGGAAGAGGGGGACGGGGAGGGACGATTCCTGGATGGACGCAATCCCTCAGCTGGATCTCACCCCCACGTGCAGGCTCCGAGGGATGCTGGGCTGCAGAACCTGTTTTTTGTGCCCCAGCCCCGGCCCCCTGGAGTGGGGAGGGAGCGTGCACCCCGGGCACGCTCAGGCTCGGCCCCAGTCCAGCGCCACCCACCGCACAGGTCAGGGCAGCAGACCCTGCTCTCCCACTGGCTGGTGATGTGACCTCATGGGATGGGTGGGGAGGAGGCGCCAGTCCATGACCTTCTTTTTTTTTTCCCAAAAATAATAGAACTAAAGTGTAAAAACAATGGGAAAATATAAACCTGGATCTTAAAAATGGAGTAAAATCACCAGCAGTTCCACCACCACATGTTGTGAACACGGGCGCTCACCCTTCATATTTTTGAGCATTGATGTTTTTCTTGTTAAAAATACATAATATAGTTTATTTTTTTACTGAGCAATAGACGTGAACTGTCCCATGTCATTTGAAATTATCTGACAAACTGATTTGCTATGGCCGCACCATATTCCTGCGGGAGCCACGCCCTCCCTGAGTGGACCCAGGCTCCCTGCCGTGATTCTGACTTTGACGGCTCAGCTGGGGAGAGGCAGGCTGCGGACAACCCATACGTGGTGAAGCCCCATGAAATTGTTCACTACAGATTAGTAAGGAAGCACAAGTAAGCCCGTGCTTACCTTGCTTCCTGGGTAACCCGCCCCGTCAGGGACTGTAAATTGGAAAAGAGGCTTTGATTCTGTAGGAAGGTGCTGTGGGGTTGGGAGAGAGACAGATGCCAGCCATACCTAGAAGCAGAATCTTTGATGCGGTGAAAAAAATGTGAAATTGTTCACTACAGAGGATCTGGTAAGCAGGGTAAGCACTGTGCTTACCTTGCCTATCAGGTAATCCACGCTTGTGAAAATGGTTAAGCCCTAAGCTACTAACGAAAAGGTTGGTGGTTTGAATCCATCCAGAGGCGCCTCGGAAGAAAGTCCTGGCAGTCTGCTTCCAAAAGGTCACAGCCATTGAAAACCCTATGAAGCTCAGTTCTACTCTGACACACATGGAGTCACTATGAGTTGGAACTGACTCCATGGGAACTGGGGGTGGTGGTGGATTCCTGTTTTTTGAGGAAGTTGTGATTGAGTTGGCAGGTAAGTGGACACACACACACAGTTTGACAGATGCATGCCTTTGGCCCCTTTAAAATACCTTAAATACCCTTACCCAGTAACATCATTCCTAAATACAGTAAAGATATCCAGGAGCGAAGAATCAGGAAGGGAAGGTTATCCAGGATGGCTTTCTGGAGGAGGTGATTAAGCTGCAAACTGACTACATAAGCAGTGGTTCTCAAAGTGTGGTCCCCAGACCATCACCTGGAAGCTTGTTAAAAATGCAAAATCTTGGGCTCTACCCCAGATTTAAGGAGTCCTGGTGGCACAAAATTTAAACACTCAGCTGCTAACTGAAAGGTTGTCAGTCACATCCACCCAGCAGCTCCACAGGAGAAAGACCTGGCGATCTGCTCCCATAAAGATTACAGCCTAGAAACCCTTCGGGGCAGTTCTCCTCTGTCACATGGGATCAAAATGAGTTGAAATTGGCTGGATGGCACCTAACACCACCAAGAGCGCAGATTTACTGAGCGTAACCTGAAGGGGTGGGGCCTAGCAGCCCTCCCTCTCAAGCGTGAGAACGCCTGCTGGAAGCCTTCCGACTGGCTGCTTAGGCTGCCGTAACAGAGCAGCACAGACTTGAAACAACGGAAATGTATTCTCTCTAGTTCCGGAGTCAAAATCAAGGTGGCAGCAGGGTTGTGCTCCCTCGGAAGGCTCTCAGGGAGGACCCTTCCTTGCCTCTTCCTAACTTCTGAGGTTGCTAACAGTCCTCGGCCTGTAGACGCACCAGCCGTCTCTGCCTCCGCCTTCACGGAGCCCTCTCCCCTGTGCGTCTGTGTCCACATTTCCTCTTCTTATAAGGACACTAGTCATTGAATTGCTGTTGTTAGCGGCCATGGAGTCGCCCCCGACTCATGGCGACCCCCAAATGCAGCCCGGTCCTGTGCCATTGCCATAACCAATTGCAGATGGGACCCTTGTAATCCACGGAGCGTTCATTGGCTGGTTTTCGGAGCTAGCTCGCCGAGCCTTTCTTCCTACTCCGTCTTAGCCAGGAAGCTCCACTGAAACCTGCTCAGCATCGGAGCCACACACACCACCAGTGACAGACAGACAGGTGGTGGCTGTGCGGGAAGGGCGTCGGCGGGGAATCGAACCCAGAGCTCCTGCGTGGAAGGCGAGAACTCTAGCACAGAATCACCACTGCCTCAATCTCTGGATTAGCACTCACCCTAATTCAGTGTAAACACATTTTAGCTTGAACCGACTCGACAGGAACACGTTTTTTTTTTTTTTTGTTAGAAATGCAGAATCTCAGGAGCTGCATTTTAACAAGATCCCCGCATGCTTCCAACATACATTAAAGTGTGAGAAGCACCAAAAGGGCCACTAATGGGCACACCAGCCCAGGGACAAGGACAACAAGGCAGGAGGGGACAGGAAAGCTGGTAATGGGGAACCCAAGGTTGAGAAGGGAGAAGGTTGACATGTTGTGGGGTTGTTAACCATTGTCATAAAACAATACGTGGACTAACTGTTTAATGAGAAACTATTTGTTCTGTAAACCTTAACCTAACGTACAATAAAAAAATTTTTTTTTAAAAAAGGGCCCCTAATGCCCGCTGCCCAAAGGCAGCCACCACCTGTCTGTCCGTGAAGGCTTGTGTGTTGCTTAAACGCTAACAGGTTTCAGAGTAGCTTCCAGACTAAGACAGACTAGGAAGAAAGGCCTGGTGATCTACTTCCGAATATCGGGCAATGAATACCTCGTGGGCAGAGGGGGTGGCTTGAGGGCAGCTGACAACAAGCATCTGTGCTGCAGGTGAGCGGACTGAGAGGTTTGCAGCCTGGTGGCAGGATGAGGTACTGCTCCAGCCAAGCTTTTTGGCCACCCATCGTCGGCTGGTTTCAGCAAGACTCGGGGGCGCCAGGGGAGGGGGCAGCAGTGATAGGATGTCGTGGATGTGATGTCTGCAATGCTTTCCTTGCCCTCAGGTCCAGGGAACACGGCCGGGAGAGCTGGCAAGGAAAGCCAACACCTCCTTCAGCCCCACCTCTGCCTTGTGTTTTGTAGATTAATTTCATCCTTTTTATAAACATTCTGAGGATCCTGATGAAAAAGCTTAGAACCCAGGAAGCAAGAGGAAACGAAGGGCACCATTACAAGTAAGTGCGAAAACCTAGACACACCCAGTCACTCAGCGAGCATTTATGGAGCACCTACTGTATACCTAGCTTGTGCTCTGCGTTGTTGGGATGGAGGCAAAGGGAAAGGCGTGGACCTAGTCCCCCAGCCTTGGCAAAGTCAGTAGGGGTAGTGGATACCAGCATGAAGCCTTAGACACTGCCCTGGGGGTGAGGATTTAGGAAATCTCAGGCCAGAAGGCAGGCAGGTAGCAGAGATTCCTACCCTTGAAGCAAGGCTGGGGAGTCTGAGGACGGGCTTTGGTTGGGGGGCATGGTGGTGGTGTTGTTAGGTGCCGTCAAGTCGGTTCTGACCCCTAGCGACCCCGTGTACAACAGAACGAAACACTGCCAGGTCGTGCGCCATCCTCACAACCGTTGTTGTGCTTGAGCCCATTGTTGCAGCCACTGTGTCAATCCATCTCCTTGAGGGTCTTCCTCTTTTTCGCTGACCCTCTACTTTACCAAGCATGATGTCCTTCTCCAGGGACTGGTCTCTGCTGATAACATGTCCAAAGGATGTGAGACGAAGTCTCGTCATCCTTGCTTCTTCCAAGACAGATTTGTTCCTTCTTCTGGCAGTCCATGCTATATTCAATATTCTTCGCCAGCACCATAATTCAAAGGCATCAATTCTCCTTCCGTCTTCCTTATTCATTGTCCAGCTTTCACATGCATACGAGGTGACTGAAGACACCCATGGCTTTGGTCATGCACCCCTTAGTCCTTAAAGTGACATCTTTGTTTGTAACACTTCTAAAATCACATACAATATCTGTAGGTGGGTGTACTTTTCAGGGGAGGATGATCTTGACTTCCATCAGATTTTCAAGATGCGTAATCCCAAAATATTTTTAAACTTTTAAGATGGTAAAAATAGAAGTTAAAGACAGATGACTGTCAACCAGAGATTTTCTCATGAAGTTTTGAGCGGAGTCCTTTGGAGACGCCAGCAGCGGTCAGATTCCTCAGTGACAGATTTTCCAGGATGTCCCCAGAGCAGTGGTCTCCAAAGTCGGTGGAGCTTAACATGTGGGAGGACACTAGTAGATACAAACCAGGACACAGTCCGAAATTAAAATCGAACTGGGCAGTCTGTATTTTTATTTGCTAAATTTGGCAACCCTAGTCTGGGAAGAAAATAAAAGAAATTCTCCATATAGATATACACAATGTAACCAATAAGAAAGCTGGCTTTGCTAATAATATGTAAGATCCAGAGTGGCAGTAATACATGCATATTATTTATAAATAAATAAGGTTATGTAGGTGGTACGTGTTTAAATTGTTTTCCAGGTAGAGGGGCAACATCAGGAAGTTTGAGGATTGGCTGTGAGTTAATAAATGTATCTGGGTGATGGGCACATGGGGATTGGAAATATTCCAAAAGAAAAAAAAAAGGAAGAAAAAGTTGGGGGGCCGTTGCTGCAAAACCCCATGCAGTCAGCCTCAAGATGGGGTCCGCAGAGACGGGAGTGGGCCAGGAGGGAGGGGGGCTCACCACCTAGCAAGAGGCTTCAGCGGCTGTCTGTCCCCAGGCGGTTAGCCAAGTCCACCCTGCTGCTGATCCCCCTCTTCGGGGTCCACTATATGGTCTTCGCCTTCTCCCCAGAGGATGCCATGGAGATCCAGCTGTTCTTTGAACTGGCCCTCGGCTCCTTCCAGGTAAGCTTCAGGGACTGTAACTTTAAGCTGGAAAGAGACGATCTCTCTTTCCATAGAAAGAGGCCACGGGGACAGCAAGCCAGGCTTCTGGAAGAGTCCAACGTGAGGTTCGGGAAGGCGGACGCCTCATTTGTCAGGGACCCAAGAGAAGGAGGGGAAGGACCTCACTGTGCTGTGGGACCCGAGTGGGACCTGGGTTCACCACCCGTCAAAACGGGGGTGGGGAATAAAACAAAGCAAAACCAAGGAGAGAGGGACTGACTCCAGGGAAAACACAAAGGAGACACGTGACCTTCCACAGCTCTCAATAGCACGGGTTGCTATTGTTGCTAGCTGTGGGCACGTCGGCTCCCGCTCAGGGCGACCCCGTGTACAACAGAAGGAAACGTTGCCCGGCCCTCCACCATCTTCACCACACTGCTGTGCTCGACCCCGTTGCTGCAGCCACTGGGGTATTTCGAGTGCCTGCCGACCTCCGGGGCTCGTCTTCAGCAGTAGTCTGTTGTGATCCACAGGGTTTTCATTGACTAATTTTCAGAAGTAGATTGCCAGGTCTTTCTTCCTAGTCAGTCTTAGTCTGGAAGCTCTGCTGAAATCTGTCTACCATCGGTGACCCTGCTGGGACTTGAAATACTGGTGTCATGGCTTCCAGCATCACAAAAACCGTTGCTGTTGAGTCCATCCCAACTCATAGCAACCTTGTAGGACAAAGCAGAACTGCCCCATAGGGTTTCCACGGAGCGGCTGGTGGATTCGAACTGCCGACCTTTCGTTAGGCAGCCGAGCTCTTAACCACTGCGCACCAGAGCTCCTCCAGCGTCACGGCAACATGCAAACTGACTACTGTGCCATCAGCATGTTCAGAGGGCAGATGACAGGGGATGCTCCGTGGGGGTGGTGGGGTGTTTCCGTGCATGCGATACCCTCGTCTTCATAATGGGAAGTCCATAGAAAATGCCCCAGACTAAACAATCCGGAAGTAGCAACATCAGCATATTATTCAGAATCAGTTAAGAGTTTCAAGTAGTTGCTTCCCAGAAACAGGAAATGGGGTGGGGGAGGGGCGTGCCAGGAGGCTCTGGTCTTTGACACAAGAGTCATCTGACTCTTTAAAACCACGGGCATATACAACTTGCTTTGAAAAAGAAAGAACCTTAAAAAGTAAATAAAATGAGGGGGAAATTGCCTATCAAGATGTTCTGAGATTAAAAAAAAAAAAAAAAGTAAGCATGTTGGGACAGAAGGGAACCTTCTCTGGGACAAATCTGAATTCCAGATTTCACAATGTTATTTTGTTTACTTACTTGTAGCTATTTCCTTTCAAAAGTAATGTGATGCCGCTTTCAGAAAAAAACAAAAAAAGAGAGCACAAAAAAAAATATATATAAGGACACGAAGGGATCAGTGAAGAAAGAAAATGAATCCAGACTTGCATTCATACACAGAAACAAATTTGAAAAAGTCCTGTGAGATAGGTGGGTCATAAGGTGGTTTAGAGCTTCTTGGCAGCTAAAGCAAAGACAGAAATGCAGTGGATTTCAACTGACAGGGAACACAACAGAGTCCTTGACGGAGCAGGAGAAAAGTGGGGTGCAGAACTCAAATTCTTGTTAAAAGGCCAGACTTAATGGTCTGACTGAGACTGGAGGAACCCCAGAAAGCATGGGCGCTGGACTCTCTGTTAACCCAGAACTAAAACCATTCCCGAAGCCAACTCTTCAGACAAAGACTGGACTGGACTATGGGTCATAAAGTGATGTTCGTGAGGAGTGTGCCTCTTAGCTCAAGTAGATACACGTGACTAAATGGGCAGCTCCTGTCCAGAGGCGAGATGAGAAGGCAGAGAGGGTCAGGAGCTAGTTGAATGGACACGGGAAATCCAGGGTGGAAAGGAGGAGTGTGCTGTCAGTACAGGGAGAGCAATTAGGGTCACCTAACAATGTGTGTATAAATTTTTGTATGAGAGACTAACTTGGGCTGTAACCGTTCACCTAAAGCACAACTAAAAAAACACACAGAAATGCCATGGGTTTCAAGATTTATAGTATCCATAATATAAAGTTTTAAGGCGTCCCTGGGTGGTGCAAAAGGTTAACACACTCACCTGCTAACTGAAAGGTTAGAGGCTAAAGTCCATCTGGAGGTGCCTTGGAAGAAAGGGCTGGTGATCTACTTCTGAAAAATCAGCCATTGAAAACCCTATGGAGCACAGTTCTACTCTGACACACATGGGGTCACCAAGAATTGGGATTGACGCCACAGAAACTGGTGGTAGTAGAAATAAATAGTGTAATATCAAACAAGCAGTTCCCAGAAGCCCAGTGATTAGACTCGGAGACCTAAGAGAAACGTCTCTAATGCGTTTTCCTGAGAAAGCCAGCAGGTCTTCAGCAATGTTTCCACAGCGGACGGAATCCTGTCAGGGCCGGGGGCGAGCCCGAGTTCCCTCCTGTCAGCTGCAGGTTCCAGCCTCACTGGAACACATCTGTGAGTGGGGTACGCTCTTGCCCTAGTCCTCGCCTTCTGACCCCGCCCAGGGCTCTCCCTGCTAAAGACACGGGGTCTTAAGAACGAAGCAGCACCCTTGGCCCCCACCAGGGCCTCAGACCTCCAGGAACCCACTCTGCTGTAAGGCGCCATGCCTTTTCTGTCTGCCAGGGGGCTCCCACCCACACAGCCCTTGCAGCCGTCCATAGAGGCTGAAGCACAATTGGGCTATTCCGCCCAGTTGGCAAGCGGGGGCGTTGAGGTCTAGACAGGTAAATTGCCTTGATCAAGGTCACAGACGTAGAAAATGACAGCACTGAGCACATAGAGACCCAGCTCTGCCTCGATGCGTGGACGGGGACTTCCTGTACCCCCGAGTTGGGGCTTGTGGTTGGAGCTGTGGAAACCCAAGAGAAGACCATTCGGCTTCACTCTGAGGAAATGATTTGTTAGTAGAAAATCAAAAGCACTTTTTTAATGTTCCCACACAGACGTGTTTATGAAGAAAAAGGATCTTGCAAGATTTTTCTTAAAGGAATCTTTCCCTCCCCTCGCCTTCTATGTTTTGGAAAAACTTAACAAGGATTGGAATCACTTCTTTACATACTTGGAAGAAGGCCCTAGTGAAGCCGTCTGGGCCAGGATTTTCTTTGTTGGGAAGTTTCTGATGACTGAGTCAGTCTCTTCACTTGTTATGGGTCCGCTGAGATCTTCTGTTACTTCTAGAGTCAATGTAGGAAGCTTATGTGTTTTTAGGAATTTGCTGTTGCTTCTACGTTATCTAATTAGTTGGTGTAAATTGTTTCTAGTATTCTCTTATGATACTTTTTATTTCTTCTACAGGGTCAGCTGTAATGTGTCCGCTCTCATCTCTGATTTTAAATATTTGCACCTTCTCTGTTTTCTTTGTCAGTTTAGCTAAAGACTTGTCAATTTTATTCATCTTTAAAAAAAAAAAAGATTATATATATGTATATCTATGTATGTATAGATACACATATATATATATATACACATACCCTTGTGGTGCAGTGGTTAAGAGCTCAGCTGTTAACCAAAAGGTCGGCAGTTCGAATCCACCAGCCACTCCTTGGAAACCCTATGGGGACAGTTCTGCTCTGTCCTATAGGGTCATTATGAGTCGGAATTGACTCGATGGCGATGAGTTTGTGTACACGTGCACACACACACAAACTCGTTGCTGCGAAGTCAATTCCAACTCATGGCAACCTCATATGTCAGAGTAGGACTGCGCTCCATAGGATCTTCAGTGGCCATTTTTTCAGAAGTAGATCTTCAGGCCCTTCTTCCAAGGTGCTTCTGGATGGATTCAAACCGCCAATCTTTTGGTTTCCAGCCAGCAAAAAAATTCTTCCGCATACAAAAGTGAAGAGAATAGTATAATGAGCCCCCAAGTAACCCTCACGAAGCTTTAACAATTATGCACTCACACATGGCCTACCTTGTTTCAGCCTCTGTCCCCACCCACTCCTCCACACCGGCCCCCCCCAATTATTTTAAGCAAATCCCAGCCATCATATTACTTCATCTGCATGTATTTCTAAGGAGCCCCGGTGGCACAGCGGTTAAGCGCTCACCAGCTGCTCCGTGGGAGAAAAATGTGGCAGTCTGCTTCCGTAAAGATTACAGCCTTGGAAGCCCTATGGGGCAGTTCTGCTCTGTCTTATAGGTTGCCATGAGCTGGAGTTGACTCCCGGCAATATGGTTTTTTTTTCTTTTGGTATGTTATTTCTAAAAAGGAACATACTCACCACAATATCATTATCACAGTCATACACTTTTAAAAACTAGTTTATAAGCTTTTTCAAATTGCATAAATAATACTTGCTTATTGTAGAAAATTTGGAAAACGACAAACTTTAAAAACAAAAACAGAAAATCACCTATAACCGAGAAGCAGCCTCGGTTGAAATGTTGCTGTATTTACTGCTTGCCTCTTTTCTGTTCACGAGGACACTGGCACATATCATTGAGGTCATGGGGTGTGTTTTGTATCCTGCTTGTTCTGCTTAATCCTTTATCGTACCCGTCGTGCACATTTCTCCATGTCATCAAAACGCTTCAAGAACTTCATTTTCAATGACCGTATGGTAACTGCGGACTTTATCAAACTTGCTGGCCTGTGTGCGGCCGGCCCTCTGTACACCCGGGGGAAGAGCGAACTTTCCCTCACCCTGGCCTCCTGCTCTTCTGTGAACACAGTGAAAATGGGTTCCTGGGTCGCAGGACACAAGAGGGGGCAGCAGCCACCTGCCAAGCAGACCTCGCTAAGGGTCAGTCCCCTTACCCATAAAACGGGGCCCTTCCACCTACCTCCTAGGACTTAGGCACCCAGAATCCCACATTACTAAGGGGCCAAGCTGTGCAACAACTTCTGGTCTGCTTTATTTCAAAGCCGGCCTTTCACCCTGTCTGTCTGACCACCATCAGTTGCCACTGGGTCAACTCCGACCCGTGGTGACCCCAGGTGCATCAGAGGAGAACGGAGCTCCATAGGGTTTTCAATGGCTGATTTTTCAGAAGTACATCGCCAGGCCTCCGGGTGGACTCGAACCACCAACCTTTGGGTTAGCAGCAGAGTGTTAACCATCTGCACCCCCCAGGGACCCCCACGAAGGCAGGGAACAAAAGAGTCGGAGGCGGCCCCTAACCAGGAGAGCCATACCTGTTCATCTAACATGGAGGTCAGTTTAAATGAGCTGCCCGTATTGAAACGGCTCCAGATTTCCACCACATCTTGAACGACCGTCTCCACAGGGACCGTGGTCTCTGGAGGCCACACGTGGTTGACTTGCCCCCGCCGCTGGGCTGGGCGGGCTTCAGGTCCCTTCTCCCAGACAGGCTGGCCCCGAGTCTTCATGTTACCGACACTACATGTGTCTGAAGCGCAGTGCTTACACTGGGGACAGGGACCACAGAGGAAAGGGACCTGGTCTTTGTCCCCAAGGAGCTCACAGTCTTCAATGCAGGCATAGCCGGGCGCTGGGGGGGCAGGGGAGGCACAGGAGGTAGCCCCACTTTGCATGAGGTGAGAGGTGATGGGAGAGAGGCAAGGAAGACCCAGGAACACTTTCTTCAGGAAGTGAGCCTGGAGCTGGTGGTGGAAGGACATGGCGGAGGAGGAGCTGACGAGGCCAGTCTGAACCCCTGCGCTAACCCCCTGCTGTCTCTGCTTCTCCGTAGGGCCTGGTGGTGGCGGTCCTCTACTGCTTCCTTAACGGGGAGGTGAGTGTCCGCAGGCTGCTTGGTGCCCAAACAGCTCCCTATCCACCAGACTCCAGGAGTTAGGAAGGGGGACGTGATGAGGGAGGTCCTGGAGTCCGGGTGGGTGACACCTGGGCACCAGTCTCTGTCTTGTACAGGTCTGAGCTCAGTAACGCAGCAGAATCACCGGAGGGCTTGTTAAAACAGACTGCTGGGCCCTGGGTGGACAAACTGTGCTCTACCGCTGACTGAAGGGTTGGCAGTTCCAAGTCACTCCCTGGTACCGCGGAAGACAGGCCTGGCGGTCTGCTTCTGTAAAGATGCCAGCCAAGAAGACCCTGTGGAGCAGTTCTACTATGTAACACGTGGGGAATGAGTTGGAATTGACTCGATGACAATGGGTTTGGTTTGGTTTTGCGGGGCCCTAGCCCCAGTTTCGGATTCAGCAAAAATTCCAAAGGTCTGAGTCGGGCCGGAGAATGGGTTTTAACAAGCACTCTCGGACGAGTTCGGGAAAGGCAGGAGAAAGGTGCAGGCACCCCAACCAGATACCAGGCTCTGCAGCCTGCTCTATTGGCAGGCCTCATGTCCTGAGGGGTAAAGGAGGAACTCAGATGAAATGCCTGCAGCTCAGTCCTCAGAGACCTCCAGATGGGTGTGGACTCGCTCCCTGGGGCCTGCACACTTCCTTGGATGACTTGATCCTTAAAAAGAGAGTCTGGGTCAGGACACAAGGCCCCTGGCACAAGGACACTATGCAGTTAACACGAGTTGAATGCGGTATGGTGCATGAGTCACACCTTTCGATGACTGTGACCTTCTACCTGGCTCACCACGCTTGAATGGGAATAACCTCCCTTGTTTTCTGAAAGTCCAAGGCTTCAGTCATGCCGCCTCAGCTGAGGATTTGGAAGGCAATTTCCAAACAGCAATTTCCTGACTCCCGCATACTTTCTGTGCTCGGGTGATTTCATGGGAATCGATTGTCCTGGGTGATCTCTCTGTTTGAGTTCTGCAGTTTGTACAACAAACAAGTCCCTTCTTCGGGGACACTATGAAATGAGACCTCAGGCGGAAGAGCTCAGTAGACGGCCCTCAGGAAACCAAAAAGACCAAACCAGTCATCTCGAGTCAACCCCAACTCACGGCAACCCTGTGCGTGTTAGAGCAGAGCTGATTTTTCAGAGGTAGATCACCAGACCTTTCTTCCAAGGCACCTTTCAGTTAGCAGCCGAGCGTGTTAACCTTTGCACCACCCAGGAACTCCTAGCCGTCAGCACCTACAGGCTGTCGGTGATGGAAATGGTCAGCTGCGTGACCTGCGGGAGGGGCAGGGCCTGTGCAGAGGCCCCTGGAGGGAGTGAGTGGGGCTCTGGGCACAGGTGGCCCTTCCCTCCTGGGCTGATGGCCGTCTCTGGGGACAGGTGCAGCTGGAGGTTCAGAAGAAGTGGCAGCAGTGGCACCTCCATGAGCTCCCCATGCGCCCCGTGGCCCTCAGCTCCTCCTTTGGCACCAATGGCCTCACCCACGGCACGAAGGCCAGCCCCTCCGAGCAGAGCCGGGGCACCTGCAGGGCCAGCGTCATCTGAGAGGGGTCCAGGGATTCCAGAAGGGGCGGGGACGTAAAGACCAGCCAGGGTGCGATCTGGTCCTGCGTCTGTCAGTCCGCTTGCCCCCGTGCTGTGGCTCCCTCCCAACCCTTCCTGCTGGAGAAGGGTTCCCTGAGCCTCAGCCCCACCTCCAGGGACAAGCTCAAAAGCCCAGGAAACAGGAGGAATCAAGGACCTTTGTCCCTAGGCAGGCCCTCCCCCGCCCCCACTGCAGCTCACCTGCCCAGCAGCTCTCACTCAGACCCTTCCAAGGCAACGCTAGATTAATCTGACAGTCACAATGGTGGCCGGGGAGGCCCAGGTCCACAGTCCCCTTTGGGAATCCTAATGAGGCCTGAAGCACACCTCTGCTCTCAGCGCCCCTTTCCCAGAGGCAGGTACAGCAGGAAATGGACATTTTTGGCAGACGAGCGATTCCCCAGTGTCCTGGGACTTGCCCACGTAAGGAAGCGGCAGTTCAGTCCAGGGCCTTTTTATTTCACACCCCGTACTCTGAGGCTGTGTCTGGGCTGTCCCTGGTCCCACACGAAGCCCACTCCCGGCACCGAGGGGTGGCAGGCTCTCTCCCGGCCCCTCTCAGCTCCTGGGTAGTCCTCCATGGCAGTCTTACCCCCAACACTCCCTGGGCGCAGCACCACACTCCCTCCTGCCCACGCCAACTGTGAGGATTCAAGAGGACCAAAGAGTTCAACTTTCTCACAGAACAAAACCTACTAGTGCTCCAAATCAGAACCTAACCAAACCAGTGCCATCGAGTCAATTCCGACTCATGGAGACCCCACGTGTCAGAGGAGAACTGTGCCCCATAGGGTTTTCAATGGCTGTGTTCTTTCAGATCATCAGGCCTTTCTTCCGAGGTGCCTCTGGGTGGGTTTGAACCACCAACCTTTCAGTCAGTAGCGGAGTGCTTAACTCTCTGCGCCTACGGAGGAAAGCAGTCTGGACCAGCACGCAGACAACTCCTGCCCCGGTGTAGACCAAAGAGCATTTTGCTGGGGGCGGCGGGGTGGAGGGGCTCCCAAACTCCAGTGCTGCCTTTGGGCAACCCTGGACAAGTCCCGCCTGCAGACAAGGTTGGGGCGGGGCTAGGGGGTCACCCCTTTGCACCTGTGGATCGCTCCTGGAGTGAAAAGGCCAGATTCCCATTTCCCAGGGCTAAGAAGCCGAGCCTGGATGTGGCTTTGTTGTGCTCTGTTCTTTGTAAAACCAATGAGTCCAGACACCCTTCCCTGGTGATTTCCATGGACTCCATGTATCTCAGAATAAAAGTTGTAAAAATCACTATGGAGGTGTGTGTGTAGACACTCAGCCCAGGAAGGGGACCTCTGTAGACAAGGAAAGGGCACACACCAGAAGACACCCTGTGGAAGCTGGAATTCACGGGGGGCGGGGAGCAGAATAGAATGACGTAGGCCAAGCACAAAACCCCACCCGCGGGGGGGGCAGAAAAGGGACTCGGAAAGGGACGATTGGCTGTACAGAAATGCAGATCTGCCGGCAAGGGTGCAAATCTCCATTGGTTCCCAGCGCCCCGTCACCTCACTCATCCCCAGGATGGTGATTAATCATTACCCGAGGTCTGGCCGTTCCCCTTTGACCCCCATAGAGGCCGGCGGGTCCAGCAGGTCAAGATCTGTGCTCTTGAAAAACTGCCATTTTCTAGGGCCAAAATGGCAGCGTGAGGCCGTGAGCCTTGCAAATAAGTGGACACACACACACACACACTGGCCTGAGGGAGGACGGTGTATTAGTCAGGTGGACCCTCTGGAGGCTTGCCCAAGAACTCTTTCTGAAGGAGAAAGGAAAACCACACCAAGGCAGGATTCCTATGGGCACAGTCCCCGAGGGGCGGCTGCCAGAGGCGCAGGGTTACCCAGGGATCATGGGGCCCCCCAAAGGCAGGGGTCAAGTCAAGTCCAATCCTGAGGGGTCTGGAGCTCCGTCTCCCGGGGATGAAACAAGGAGGAGCCTGTGAGCTGGTGGAAGAAAGTCCCTGCACTAACTAGACCCTCAGCTGGAAGAGCGATGCCCTCTAGCAGCCCCACAAAGCCCAGGAATACCCCAGCCGCACAGACCAGCAGAGTCAATGAAACAGGTAGGAACTGTAGCTGCAGGGCAGCTGACCTTGGCACCAAGTTACCCTGCCTGCCTCCAAATCCATGCCAGTCCTGGGAGGAAGGATCCAGGAAAAGGGTTTTAAACCGTTTTTTGTCTTCTAAAATCAGCATCCTGATAACTTGGCAGCCTGCGCAGCTGGTGGCACTGAGGTACCTCGCGGCCTCCGGCCCTGCAGACCAGCTGCAAAGGCCTGGGGGCTGTTTCCGGCCAATCCCCCAAAGCTTAGCGGCTAACAGGCAGCAGTTTCAAGGTCATCGTCCCACCCCTACCCCTACCAGAGGTTAAACTTTGGAAAAGTCCCATCTTGACCACACTTTCCTGTAGAACCCGGTGTCCCCAGAGGGGCTCTAAAATTTCCTCGGAGGGTCCCAGGGGTGTGTGATGCTGTTAATGTGCAGACCGCTGAGGGCGTTCAGGAAGAAGAGGAAGGAGGCGGTGAACTCACACCAGAACATCAGGGTGAAGCCCAGGAGGGTGACCTGGTTCCTGAGAAGGATCACGAAGCTCAGGAGCCCCCCGGAGGAGAGCAGGAAAGAGACGAGGAGGAACACGGAGCCCAGGGCCCACTTGCGCCGGGAGTGGAGGTCCTCGCACACCTGGGACACCATGAGGAACTCCAGGCCAAAGATGGCCACCACCACAGCCAGGGCGCCCACGCTGCGGGCCAGGCCCATGCCCACGGCCAGCCCCGGCACACGGGCCTGGCTCAGGTCTCGGAGGCAGTGTGGCTCACTCTGGTTGGTGGTGGTGCAGAAGTGCCACAGCCCAAAGAGGCGGCCCTCGGCCAGGAGCCAGTGGCCGTCACAGATGGAGACAGAGGAGAGGACCACAGCCATGGCAGCGCACACGATGATCAAGGTCCGCACCAAGGACTCAAAGAAGGGCCTGCAGGGCCTCCTCGGGGCCAGCAGCCTCTGGGCCTGCAAGACACACAGACGGCCATGTCAGAGGAAGGCCCCACCCACATCCCTCCAGCCTCTTCGGGGGACTCCCCTGAGACCCTGGGGGAACCACTTTCTCCTCAACATGTCTTCCAGCTCCCCACGGCCATGGTTCTTCTCTGGTCTCGTGTGAAGCCTGGAACACCCCCCTTAATTTATAGCTCCCCTTATCTTCTCATCTGGCTCCGACCAGCTTCTCTGGGGAACCGTTCCCGCAGTCTGCCTGTCCTCTGCCCTCCATTGCGAACCTATAAGCATTTGTTGTCCAGTTACTCATCAGGCAGTACGTGTTCCCTGACCTTCGTTTCTTTTAACAGCCTTTATCATGGGTGCTGGTGGTGTTAGCTGCGCTTGAGTCTGCCCCGGGCTCAGGGCAACCCCATGTACAACAGAAGAAAACGCAAGAAAACGCCACCTGGTCCGTGATGAGCTGTGGATCGGACCAGTGTGAACCACAGGGTTTTCACTGGCTGATTTTTGGAAGTACGTTGCCAGGACTTTCTTCCTAATCTCTTAGTCTGGAAGCTCCACTGACAGATGGGCGGTGGCTGTGCGTGAGGGACACTGGCCAGGAACTGAAGCTGAGTCTTCCACATGGAAGGCGAGGACTCTGTCGCTGATCCACCACTACCCTCTTACAGTGGGTAAGAAACCCCAATTCTGTGGAGCCGGCAAATCCCAGGCAGACCTGAATTCAAAAGCCGGTCTTGGCTGGCTTGTGTGACCTTGCACATTTCTTTGTCTGCAAAAGAATTCTTGCCTGGCAGGATTTGGAGGGTATAGTATGAAGCGCCTGGAAAATAGCGTATCAATACTTCCCCTCCATCTTTCTAGCACCTTCCTAATGCACTTCCAGTTCTATCCTAACCCTTGGTTCTGCGCTTTCCACGTGCACTCCAGGAAGGACTGACTCCCTGTTATTACCTTGTTTTCCTCAGTACTGAGTTATGTTTGTACCTTGCCCTTCAGTCTTGCTCAGCCTGGGCCCCACCTAGAACGTGCAGACCAGACTGTCTGTCTAAGCAGCTTTGAGGTGTGGGAAGCCACTGAGGCATTCCTGCAACCTCTGGTCCCAGCATCAGAAGTGAGCCACCCACACCTGTCTCCTGGCAAGCCGGACTGGGCATCCAGCAAGTCGTCTCTTATCTCACAATCCTGGGGCAATCCCCAGCTCCGAAAGCAGAAAAAATAAACACTTCAAAGGGTAAAACGCTTTACTGGGACCTACAAGCCCCACAGGACCTGGCCCTCTTGCCTCCCTCTCCACCTTCCCAGGGCCACTCCCCTCTCCCCGCCCCACTCAGGCAAACAACCCTCTTTCCAGGCCAAGAATAAGCTTAGAGGGTTCCTCCCTCAGACCTACAGCCCCTGAGCCTGGAAGGTTTTTCTCTGGCTTCCTCAGCCCTCTCCTTTCTTCCATTCTTTGTATCTCAGCTTAAATGTCTCTTAGAGGTTTTTCCTGCCTTCCCCACCCACAGCGGGCCCCCTCTGGGTTGACTCCGACTCCTTGCAAACCCATGTGTGTCAGAATCAAACTGTGCTCCAGAGGATTTTCAATGGCTGGTTTTTTGGAAGCAGATCGCCAGGCCTTTCTTCCGAGGCACTTCTGAGTGGACTCAAACTTCTGACCTTTCAGTTAGCAGCCAAGCACGTTAATCTTTTCTACCACCCAGGGACTCCTTGACTATAAAAGATCCCCTGTTATCTTCTTGACACATTGGGGGATCTAGGATGAGTCTGTATTGAATTTCATCAGCGCAGCGGTTAAGAACTTGGCTGCTAACCAAAAAGGTCAGCAGTTCGAATCCTTGGAAACCCTATGGGGCAGTTATACTCTGTCCTATAGGGTCTCTATGAGTTGGAATCAACTCGGCAGCACCGGGTTTGGGTTTACTGCTAAGAAACAGACCAAAAGCAACTTTGGAAAACGTTTTTGTCTAGTCTACCGTTAAAGGTGTTTGTCCTTGGGTGGGCTCTTAACTTCCATGGCCCTTGTCTCATCTGTAAGGTGTGGCTGCTGACCTCTGCAGGAAAGCGGTGGCCACAGAGGCACCCGGCCAAGTTACAACGCCCTGGAGATGGACGTGGTCCTGGGATGGGAGAGCCCCAGACGCAGAGAACAAAAGTCGCAGAGCCACCCAGGAGCCATGTGACCCTAGAAATCAGGCTGTCTGGAGAGCAGGCACCATGCGCTGTCCCTTCCTCAGCCCCTCCTATGCTGGGGACAGACTGGACTTTCATTTCCAGGCCTTCAGACATTCTGCTGGGATCAGAAAGAGAAGGCAGCTGGACGTCATTTCATCTTGTCCCCCTCCCGCCCCAACCTAGGGCTTCGTTAAACTCTGTGAGCACCAATAAAAACCCCAAGGATGAAATGAGATCACTCTATGAAGGTGCTTGGCACATGATCAGACCTGATTTGTGAGCGCTATTAACATTATTAGTAACAATAACAGCTTACATCGAGTCTTCACTCCTAACCCCCCTGCAAAACACGCCTGTGCTGCTATTGCCTCCTCTGCCGAAATCCTACACTTGGGCTCCCCTCAACCAACAGCACCCCCAAGTAGACACTCTGGGCTCCTCCCTGTTCATTCCCCACATCCCCAGCCTCCAACCTGTCTCCCATACCTGTCCCTCCTCATCACCCACTGTACCCAGGCCTAGGCCCTCATCATCACTAGCCTGAAATCATCTGAAATTACTTCCACAGCCTCCTAAGGAGTCCACCTGCCTCTGTCCCCCGAAGCCCAGCCTGGCCCGGCCCAGCCAGCACAATCCAGAACGTGGGTCATGAGCCACGGCGCCTGCTTTTGAGCTTGCCGGACCTCTGGCAAGTTACTCTCATTCATTCTCATCCTCTCTCTCCCCGTTTCCTCACCTTTCCAATGGAGATGACAGTCCCTACCTCATAGGGTCGCGGTGGGATGAAATGCGTTATCTGTGAAGTGCTCAGAACAGTCCCTGGCCTGAGGTTAAATGCTCACTGTTCGCTACTATTAACACAGCAGCTCTGATGGTTAGGAAGCCAATAAGGTTCCCCAGCTTAGAGTAAATGCAGGGCTTGAGGCCCTATTCCCCATCCCTGACCCAACGCATCCTCCTTCTCCGCTGACAACTCCATACCCGTCCCTTGCTACCAGCCTTCGGCCTCCACCCAGCACCCAGCCTTCCTCCCTGCTGAAGTTCATCCTGCCTGCGCCTTTGCACCTCTTAATTTAGCACTCCCTGTCCCATCCCTCTGATAAATCCTTGGTTATGAATCTCACTCCCAGGCGGGACTCGAAACTGCTTGCAGGGATAGACCCCACCCAGCCCTACCCTCCGGTCCCTGCTTGTCCCTTTCCTCCCAAGGCCTGTCACAGGAGGCTGCCTGTCCATGATTGAAGACTAGGCCCCGAGAAAAGAGGGTGAACTCACTGCACCCAAATCCCCGCCTAAAAGGCATTCCTGCGGTGGCCTGTGGAGCCCTGGGAGCGCAGTGGTTAAGAGCTCGGTCAGTTTGAATCCACCAGTTGCTCCTTGGAAACCCTATGGGGCAGTTCTACTCTGTCCTATAGGGTCTCTATGAGTTGGAATCAACTTGACGGCAAGTAGGTTTGGCTTTATGTCGGAGGTAGCCTGTGGGTGGGTTTCTCTGGTCAAGGAAAGCAAAAAGGTCAAGCAATTTGGCGCCAAAAGTCCTGGATTTGAATCTCTATTCTGCTGCCTACTGGGGGTCTTGGACACTCCCTTCACCTCTGGGCCTCAGTTACCTCATCTGTTAAGTGGGCATAGCAGGATCTACCCGAGTCTGTCGTCCGGGGGATCAGAAGACTTGGAAGCCAAGTCAACGGGCTTCAATAATTATCAGGACATTCCTTTCCCACCGGCCGGAGGAGGCGAGCTGGTGGAATGCCTGCACGTAAAGGAAGCTCGCCTGCAGGGTAGCGGTCCAGCCACCAGCCGGCTTCCCTTTGGAGAGCAGCGGCCAGCGGGGAGGAGGTAGGAATGTGCAGGTTCTTTGCCAACAGAAATATCTTGCACCACTTTAAGGAGAAACTACATCTTCGGGGATGCGGGCCCCTTCCCTCGCCAGAGATTGGCAGCTCCCGGGGCCCCAGCCTTTTCTCTGCGGTGCCCACGCGCCCCGCAACACCATACTCCCGGATCGTAGGCGAGGAAGCGGTCTTTCCATCCTCGCCCCCAGAAAGTTCTGGCTTCCCAAGAAACACATCCTGTTACATAAGGCAAGCCTCCCTTTGCGAGTGGATTCTGTCCGTCTTCCACCACAGACGTGCCTTGTTTCTTAAAAAGAAGGGATCCCTCCTGCGAACCTAACTGACAGGTCACTGGGATTTTCGGAACCCCAAAGACAAGCGGAGGAATCTTTCCTAGGGAACTTTGGGGACCTCGGTGCTTGCAAGGCAGCAGCAGAGCGCAGAGGCCAGAGGAGGCAGCGCCGGAGCCGGGCGGGCGCCCCCAAGTTGCTTCCCGCCCAACCGCCTCGGGACTCCGAGGGACCCGGCAGGCTTGCGCCCGGGGCAGGCACGGCGGGGACACCCCGCCCCCGGCTGGCCCGAGGCTGGGACCGGCTCTCAGTCGGGACCCCCGTCCCTCCCTCCCGCCCCCACGATGGGGCAGCACCCCGGCCCGCGCGGCCCCCCGCGCTACCTGCACGACTATGGCTGTCATGCTGCGCCGCGCTCTCGCCTCGCTGCGCCTGCCGCCGCCTGCGCCCGGGCCCCCGACCTCTCCTGGGGGCGGAGCGGGGCGACTCGGGGGCGGGCGGCCGGGGAGGGAGGGGGCCTTCGGAGCAGAGCAATTAACCCCGGGGCGGGCGCGGCTGCCCGGCCGCCCTCCCGGCTCGCTTTCCGCTGAGTCAGCGGGGGCGGCCGGGGGAGCCCCCGGGGAGGGCGGCTCGAGGTGGGGGCGGACCCGAGGGGGCGGACTGCGCGCGCGGCTGCGAGGACCCGGCACGGAGGAGGGCTGTCCGGGCCCGAGGGCGGAGGATCGGGCCCTCGGGGAGGGGTCACCGGGCTGACTTTGGAGCCCGCGGACCTCGGAGGACGACTTCCCGGGCGCGAATTCCTCGAGGACCCGGGGGCGCAGAGGAAGGCCCCGGCCCCAAGCAGCTCCAGCCCCAGCCCGGCTAAGTCGAGCGTCTGGGGAAGCTCGTGGGGTCCCCAGCCCCAGCCCCCTGGCCCCATACCCCGGCCCCTCCGGCCCCAAGCTCCATACCCCAGACCCTCCGGCCCCCAGCCCCATACCCCAGCCCCCCAGCCCCCAGCCAGCGGGGTCCCGAGAGAGGAGGAACGTGCCGGCGCCCTGCCGACGTCACCAGCGCGGTGTGGCCTTGGGCTGCTGGCTGAACTTCCCTGAGCCTCGGTTGATAAATGAGGTAACGCCTGTGAAAGGGCTCAGCGAGCCCCTCGGCAGTGCGAACGCAGTGGGACCTTCCGCGCTAAACTGGCTTGAGTCAGTAAAAACCTGTCTTCCCCCTGGGACACGTCCTCAGGGACCGTCCAAAAGGGCAAGAGGCCAAAACAAAGTAATTGTTCCTCGACTGTCCTTGTGGGGGCTGTGTTTGTTTGCCATGATCAGGATCTCCAGAGGGCGCCCGAAAGTCCCCACCCCTATAGTGGGGGCAGGAGAGGTCCGAGGCCGGCCGCTTCCAGCTACGAGCCCGCCCTCCGCCCGCCTTGGTAGAAAAGCCTGTCCCTGGGGAGGAGGATTCCTGCTTAAGGTAAGGAAAGATCCTGGCAGTTGGTGTTAGCTGCCCACAAATCCATTCCGACTCCTGGCGACCCCGTGTGTGCAGGGTACGACTGCGCCATAGGGTTTGCCAGGCTGTGACCTTTCAGAAGCAGATTGCCAGGCCTGCCTTCTGAGGCACCTCTGGGTGGCCCCGAAACTCCAGCCTCTCGGCTAGTAATCAAGCGCTTAACCTTTTGCACCACCCAGGGACACTCTCCTTCGCTAAGTGGAGTAAATTAAATTACTCAGCACCTTCAGGCAGGCAGGCAGGCAGGCAGGCAGCTCCCCGTGACTTTACCCAAGGACACAAGGCAACTGCACTTCTCACTGTTTTCCCTGAGAGCCACGTGAGAAAGGGGGGAGGTTCTGTTTGTGCAGCTCTGAGCTGGACCTTCATCTGATTCCATCACTGCTTGAGTCTGCCAAACCGTCTAATCCAGTCCTGGCATTGACCCGTGGAGACATGGAAACAACCCCTCTCCCTGAGGTGGGGGGAGGGGGCAGCGTGCCCTGTCCCAACATCCAGAGTCCCCTGGAGAGCCACCCTTCTCCATCAGAAGAACACGGTTGATGTGGTTAGCTGCCGCCAGGTCAAGACTCCACGGGCACCTACGAACGAGCAACAGTGAAACGCTCCCGGGTCCTGTCTTCGCCATCACTGGCCACTGATGTGACCACTGTGCATTCCAAGTTCTTTCCCATCTGGAGGGCTCGTTAAAACACAGATTTCTGGGCCCTACGCCTGGGGTTTCAGACTGAATAGGTCTGGGGCAGGGCCCGAGAATGTGTACTTCTAACGAGGGGATGCTGGATCTGGGGACCCGGCACTGAGCTGAGACGAAGGGCAGCAGGTCAGGCCCAGCTAGGTCAGCCCTGTCTAGTCTGGGACCTCCCCTCCATGGCCCCACCCTGTCTTCTCCCCAGCCCAGGGCCCCAGACACCCCTCCCTCCACATCCCTGAGGAGGGGCTCCCGTGGGAAAGAAGGACCTGGCCACGTTGGGGGTCCCTTGACAGAGCCCTAGATGGCTGTGTGGGAGGACCCTCTGGACTACTGTGGTAACATTCATCTGAGCAGGAAGGAAGTTTTAGAATTAAAATCAGAACTGTCTGTTGGGCAATCTGCACCTACAGTGTGCTTTCTAAGAGATTCTGGGTATGCTCAGGCACGTTTGGGGACATGCTGCTCAGTGTGCTTTGTGGGTAAGAACAGAAAGTCTTGAATCAGCGGGTTTGGAGCAAAAGGTCAGCAAGATGGTTGGAGAAGCAGAAATGACTTAGGAATAAGGAGGAGGAAGTGACTGTCCAGTTCCGACCATCGTATGGTTGTAAGGCCTGGGACATGCGCTAGGAGTCCGGGTGGAGTTGGTGCTGAGGACCAGGACTTCAGATATGTGAGCTGGTCACGTGGGCTGACTCCCTGCATCCTAGCATCCCAGCGTCTCCAGGCCTGGGCAGCGGGGATGTAGCAGCAGCCACAGCCTGTTAGTGTGCCCCAGTCCCTGGTGACAGAGAGAGAGGCAAATAACTCATCTCGGACGAATGTCTGGAGGGGCAGGGAGTTTCCAGTGCCACAGGGGCATGGCAGGAGCAGGGGTGGGGGATGGGATGGCAGGGTAGGACCCCAGTGTTCAAACCAGAAACAACCGAGTGGGGGGCTCTGGACAGCCCTAAGGGGGGTCTCGCATGCGGAAGAAGGACCTGGCCCCCGTCTCTTCCCCCACACCCCGCATCACCCCTTCCTCCCCTCCTCTCTCCTTGCAGCTGCCCCGCCTCAGCCCCCTCATCGCTGTGTGCCATCAGGTGGACTCGACTCATAGTGACCCTATAGGGCAGGGTAGAGATGCACCGTAGGATTTTCTAGGCTGGAATCTTTCCGGGAGCAGATCTCCAGATCTTTTCTTCCTTGGAGCTGCTGGTGGGTTCAAACTGCCGACCTTTTGGTTAGCAACCGAGCACTTAACCATTGCCCCACCAGGGTTCGTTCAACCCCCTCTAGGCCCCATCGTCTCCAAGCTGAGCGTCTGTCTAACAGCCTGGCTTCCCCGCTGCCACTCTCACCTCCTTCCGTCCCTTCATGCAGCCTCTCATCCCCACCCTTTGCCAAGGCCCATGAGGCAGGCGGGATCTGGCCCCTGCCCACACCTCTGCCCCCATCTCCTGCCTCGCACCTCCTTACCCCTGGGCTCCAGCTGCACTTACCCGCTCTCTGGCCCGGGACAGAAAGCCCTGTCGGGCGGCAGGCCTTTGTGCCCCTGTCCTCGCTGTATTTACCCCGGATGTCTGCAGGGCAGGGCTGTCACCTCTTCGGGGGCCTCCCTTGACACCCCCGGACCCAGTAGTGTGTTTGTGCCCAGCCCCTAGAGTAGTAGATGGTCAGTAAGTTTGCCAGCTAACTGACGGACCAGGCTTCCAGTGCGTTCTGGACATCACTCCTCCGAGCCTCAGTTTTCCCATCTGTCAAATGGGAAACATCTACTTCTTGGTGCCGTGAGGACCGCACGAGGCAGAGTGTGAAGTGCCTGGCGCGCCTGGTATGTGTAGGAGCTCAGTACCTTCCGATGGTCTTGCTCACCACGGTCCCAGGGGCCCCCATGGGCCCTGAGCCCCGGGAACTCTTAGTGGGTGGCTCCATCTCTGTGCTTAGACAGTGTTCGTTGAGGAACGAGACCCCTGCACTCGAGTTTTCTCCTCTGGGGAGTTGGGAGGTGAATCCCCGCTCCACCACAAGGTCTGACAGGCAAGGCGGGCAGGTGGACTCTTGAGATCAGACGCAGAGCAGGGAGTCTGGTGTGCCAGTCCACTAGGCAGTTTTAAAGCTGCTTCATGCCAGGAGGACTAGGTCTCCTTGCCACCTGATGCCTTGTAATCCTGACCTCTCCAGTTCTCGCCCAGCTTGAGGTCTTGGAGAGCAGGCTGCACACTGGCCAGCTGCTGGCCTCTCCTCCCCGCCTTCCCGGCTGCCCTGCCTCCACCCGGCCGGGCCCTCCTGCTCTCCCAGCCTCCTGTTCATGTTCCCCGACTCCAGGCGCTTCACTCCCTCCACCCCAGGCCTCCTCCTGCCCTTTGCCTCCTCTGCCTGGAGCTCTGGCCCTGCATTCCCCTCCTCACAGGCAGGCCCGGGATTGCAACACAGACCTTGTTTACTGCGTTCTCCTGGGGCCGGGGCCAAGGGGCTTCCCCACCCACCGCACCCTGTGGCTTCCCTCCTGGGCGCAGGGAGGTCAGAGTGAAATGTTTACCCTGTGTCTGCAGAGAGGGCTTGCTCCAGGAAGCCCAGTGTATCCGCGTCGTTTCTGCCGGCTGCCGGCCGACCGCAGTGGGGGGTTGGGGGTT